ACACAACTCAGAAAGCAATTTGGGTCGAGTTTCTTGTTGGCATCATGCCAATAACCGCCACGTAGATACGGCTGCATGGATGTACTCGTATAGCCAAGCAGCACCGCAGCCGCTTCGAAATCAACCCCCTCGCTTCGAATTCGCAAACGAAGCGATACGAGCATCAGGCATCGGTCGGACATTTGTGGGCGGGCAGGCGCTGTGGGTATCCGGCTCGGTATGTTGCACTCGATAGGGCGCTATGAGGCTACTTTCCTCGGGGAAGGCGCCACGATTCTGTTCTGCTAGGCATATTATTCTATGGGATTTATCGTGTCACTTGCCTAAATTAACAAGTCATTCACTTCCACTCTCTAGGGCAATGAGAACATGGGTCCGACCTGCGCGTACAGTTTCCGTCGCAGCGGATCATGGGGTAAGTCAGGAAGGATGAGCCTTGCGCGTTCCCAAACCCATTTCCCACCGATTCCTGAAGAGGGCAAGCCAGACTGTAAAACTTTTATCTGTAGTTTCCCACCAACTGTTGCAGCTCACCCTCTTCAACAACTGGTGGAGAACGAGCTAGCGGCGCGCCAAACCCAGCCTCGCTGACAAGCCCCACCGTCCGCAGCGAACAAGACTGTAGTTAAAAAACAGAGAATGGTCCCGATCAACAGGTAAGTATTATTAAGCAGCTGCTCCGACTGACTCCCAGACAAGATCCACTTTTAGTTATCTGCCTGATTATTTCCAGATTCACGGGTTCTCTTATAATAAGAATAAGCAAAACACACACACCTATTTTCGTCACTTCTCGAGGCATGAAGAAAAAGAGTCCACAACAATAAAGTCGGTTGACTTGCCATCGAGAAAAGCAATTTCGATTTACTTCGAAATGCTGCATAGATGATATCGGCACTCATACGCTGTGCAAATAAAATCTCCAAGAGTATGACTTCAACTGCAGACATTACTGGAAAGTAGGCTCTAAGCAAGAAACAAAATTAACGAAAAATCATGCAGAGACGTACTTTCTTTGGCATTGGTATGAACAGACTTTTCGATGAGTTCTACAGCCACACGTGAGACTTGGTCGTACTTGATCACATTCGTTCTCGCTAATACAATAAGATACAATGCAATCTGCAATACAGTTATTCAGTAAAGTTACTCAACATCAATGAAACATAGTTACTCGATACTTCGGTACGTACTGCTGCAACACCGGTACGTACTATCGGAACACAAAAAACTGAAAACTCCACCGAACTAAAAAAAAAAACAAAATAAAGTTAAGCGATTCCCAAGCAGAACGCACTCAGAGTACTTTGCTTGCATTCTCAACGTGCAGACGAGCCACTGGACCAACAGATTTTGTTGAATGCTGATAAAAAATATTGAAACCATCACAAGTTAGGCCCGTCACGTACTTGAAATCACATACTCCGGTTAAACAGCTCCTTATTGCCTCTACAGGATCATATAGTCTGTGTGTTAAGCTTCGAATAACCTTTTGGGGTTTAGCCATTTGCATAGATATACATTCCTTGGACCAGTTCAAATCACTCGAGTATTTCTAAAATGAACAATTTCTCATCTCAGGGTTACCATAGTTCTCTCGAGACCGACTATAAATTGGATGTCAAAGTTATTTTTCTTGTTTTTGTGTTTTCATTTAGTTTTGTCTGGTGGGGGTGTTATGGGATTTGTTATTTTGGGCTGCAAGTTAGCATGGCTTCTATAGTTGACATGTCTCATTGAACGGGCCAATAGCGCGACTCTGGTGAGGCGGAAGTGGTGCAGTGACAAGTGCTACGGTTAACACGCGCGCAGGAGGTTGAATCCCAGATCGGCTCCTGCCCAGGTCAAACTAGACGTCTCATCCTCCTGGAGTGGTGTGAAATTGGTACCATGTCTGTTTTGAAGCATGAATAACTAGCTGTCGTAACTATTCTGTATAGAAGTAGGATTTCATGCTGAAACTGAGTTTGTTGTATTTGACAATGGCCCGGGAAAACTTATTCCTCTTTTATATACTTGTATTGGATCGATGATGTTCGGTGGATTCGTATCTGATACAAATCTCTACAGTGGCGTTTAACCGAATTTTTACTCTCCTAGTCGTTCACTCCTTCTCTTACCGCGCACCTGACGGATTTTATTCATATATAAGAATACGGATTTGGGGTGGCGTAACCTTGGTTCAGATTATTGGAAAGCGGGCACTCTTATGAAGGGAAAAGACTGCGGATGCTCTTCCACCTAAGCCGCTACAAAGGACTGTAATTCTGAAGAGAAGCCGATCTAAAACAACTGTTGGCGACACTTGCGTACACTGCTGGAACGGACGCACCTTTTTTGCCGCGAGGGACATTGCGTCCCACTGCTGGGATGCGGCATGGGTAAAAAACCAATTTGAAAACGTTTCAAATTTTCAACAGCTACATATTGTACAGGAAGGCATTGTAGAAAATACAGTGCGTAAATTAGCAAGTTGTATTCATTGGGAGTATTTTAGCGTAGGATACAAAGGAAAGTGATTTCCTTAGGGAAAAAAAGGTAATTTTTTTATAAATAGAACTCAGGCTCCACATGTAAAATAGCTAACGTGATAAGGTAACTTTCTACAATAGCAGATCTGGATCGAATCCAATTTACTGCCTCTGGCGCCAAAAAATTCCTTTTTTGCGACCTCTTTCCCACGCTCCGCGTGTATGGGGCGGGAGTATTCCACAAAAATTAAGGGTTTACCTTGAAAGTAAAAAAAACAGCAAAGTTTTACTAGCTTCTGCATTGATTACTAGTCCTTCTGCAAGTGTTTTGCCGTGTGTAACGCCTAGCATTCGAATACGATTCCTCAAAATAGGACAAAATAGCTTCGTCCACGCGGCAACATGCGGAAAAGGCGCCTTGTCGCCAATTGTTAAGGGGCACATCGTCGAGGTGGATCCTTTATCACTACGCGAAGAGGTCACAGTTAAACTATGGAAGAATGTTACTCCTGAAAGATGAAAGTGCACGAAAATGGAACTTTCGGATGGCAACAGTTTGATGGTTATGTCCCTGCATTTTATACGCGATGAGAAAGTAAGAGACACGCAACACGCTACACCATCAGCCACACTGCTAACCATAACCGAATGCGTTACTTGCTTGCGACCTCTCGCGCATGACAGAGGAACCATTGTCTTCTACAGGTCGACTTCGGCAGCATGCCAGCGAGCTCGCTACGGCACCTTGGTCGCTCAGGTCCTACAGCGAATATGTGCATCGCGAGCGGGCAGAGATATAAACAGCATCTAACCCACAACTATCGAGCCTTATTTCCGAGTACATCCGAGTGGCGGAAGTGCCAAATTTCTGAGACTGCGGGCGTGCCCACCTTGCAGGTGGAATGGGTCCATCTCACAGATAATCGTGTAGTGTGTCTTAGGTTGCATTCATACTTCGCGACTACATCTGTCGCACAAATCGAGAATAGCGACTGTGACTGAGCGCCTTCTATCTCTACCTGTTGGTCTACTGCAAATGCAATCACATTCGGGATAAAACTGCTTTCGTCCGTTCCAGCGGTCCAGGGATTGCCAACAGAGCCGGACACCATCGCGCGGTTGAATCGTTCGAGTCGCGAAGTATGAACGCAGTCTTGCAAATAGAGAAAAAAACAAACTGCAATACTCACAGCGCGCTTACATGGGACCGACTGGAAGGCTCCATAGACTTGTAACAACACTGTAACAAATCCTTCGAAAAGTTCAAGTGCTGGAGCTATCTCATTCGGTGGCGGGTTATGAATCCGAGCCAGCATATCCGTTTTTAGCCAACCCAAACTCCTGAATTGTTATTAAGAAGACCTTAAGCGCATATAAGTTCGGAAACTATTGGCCAATAAATATTATTATTACTATACTCACCGAGTAACAAAGGTATCCATGTATTCCTTCCGACTGACAAATGCAGAGAACAATGTAAACTCATTCGCATAACGAAGATACAGCATTTCGGCTTCATCTCAAAAGTTTCAAGATGATTCGATGAATCTTTGCGCTGAATATCCAAAATGCAAGATTCTTACTGTAACAGCGACAGTCATTTCGGCGTTGAAAACTCACTCAACGGGGGAAGAGGATCCTTCATTTTCATGGAATGAAGAACATCCAGATTGATGTTGGCCGTATTCTTCCCGAAAACCACTTTAAAAAGCTGGTGTAACAACGTTGTACAACCGTCCGGACAAACTTCAAAAGTCACCTAAAAGAGAAGTTTACAGCAACATTTAGGTTGGACTTGTAGGGCCCCAGAGCCATAGAAGAATCAAAGAACCGAGGTAAGACCGGTTCATGTTTTGCGACACTGAAAAATAGAATACGGAAGAATAGGAGGATCGGATGATAGGAGAATGCGCGTAACGGAAAGTGTATGTATCGAGCTGGCAAAATGGGAAAATAGCAGAAAGCGTGCCAAAGCAGAAGATAGGAATCGATCGTCTTTGGTAACTAGTCATTTAGGAGAACAGGAAGATCGGAGAATAGGAAAACGCGCGCAGTAGGAAGTTTGAGTATCGATCTGCCAAACTGGGGGAATGGAAGAATAGGAGGACCGGGGAGTGCGCAACATTGGAGAATGCTTGTCAGAGGACTATCGTCAGAGAAACAGATGGCAATCGATACTCAAACTTCCTACTGCGCGCGTTTTCCTATT